AAACACTGAAGAGATACTAGTGTCTGATAATAACTACCCTCCTGAATTTAGTTAAAACGTTTATAAGGACCTATAGGAGAAAGAATGATAATATTAGTGGTAATAGCAAAAGGTCTAAGAGGGAATCCAAATCCGCTGTAATGTTACCACATAACAAAGACATCTCGGGGTTTTTATGTAGAATTCTTAACAATGCTGGAATTAGTCTGGTGCTTAAATTTACAAACTGAATCAAGAAGAAGCTTTGTTGACCAAAGTATCCAGCAGAGCCAACTAAGCAAAATAGCCTAATCTATCAAATACCATTTAATGGTCGTGAGGTCAAATGTATAGGTCAAAGCAGTCCATAGTGAGCAGTCACAAAAGCGGAGTGCAATAATTTAGTGGAATGTACAGTGATAGATTCTACTACGATAAGTAATTTAGAGAAAAACTTGGCTATGGCTGTGTTAGTATTGAAGTATAATCATACTACAGGGTCGGTTAAAGTGACAGTCCTAAAATTTACTTCAGCAATGTGGAAGGAGAGATTCCTTACAGAGTATAACTAATTAGACTTCTTGATTTTAAGAAAATCTACTTTTCAAGGGGAAATAAAGAAACCCAATTGGATGTTTCAGTTGTTACCAGACTAGCCTTCAGAGTGGGTGACTTTAAAGACCACCCTAGCAACGATCAAAACAACCAGTTAAGTTCCTTCATTTTGGCTGGAAAAGCAGATTTTCACAAAATAAAGACGTCTGATTGGTTAGAATAGTATTTGCTAGGGTGGCCTTCAAAGTTGCCTTTAACAGTCACTCACCGCTTTCAAGTCGTCATTGTCTTCCAATATAGGAGGATATTTGATAAGATCGGTATAGACACAATCAACACCACAAAAGGCCTACATTAGGAGAGTCGGTTATATGAACAGTGTTCTGGTTAGTGGTAATCACTTAAACGCACTACATTACATGCAGCGGAAATACTGATTACCGTGATCTTCTTCATATGGCTCAGTGATTCAGATAACCTATATCTAGTGAGTGATGCTCATGGACATATTCACTTGGTGTGAGGTAAATCGATTTATAACGAGTGAAGTGTTTAAACGACAATCGACCTCATTTAGCGTCGTTATAACAACTAAAACACTGAGTTACTTTAGTCATCGATGCATTTCTAATACAGTTGTTTTTACTTATCTATATACATCATTTGTAATAATCTTATTGTACTCAACGATTAACCGTAATACTATTTTGTTAGCTTGGGTTAGTATAGCCTGCATGGTAACTGGCACTATCACATTAAAACAGCGTAAGGAGAAGACGAAGATTATCTGAAACATGTGATGTATTAGCGCTATACATTTCGAACAATCTGATCACACATGGACTTGTCGAACTATTTATGTGAAAATTTACGAAAAAGGTCAATGAAGTTAATAAGAAACATGGGAATAGGAAGGGATAGAAAAAAAAGGAAAACCTTATTCTTGGTATGGAAATTAAAATCAATACTACTGTCTTAATTTGCTCTTGACCGGCTCTTCATACACTCTTACCAGCAGCATCCCCTGTAATACGCCTGTGTTGTCCCCTGCGTTGCTCTTGGCAGAAACCTTACCCATTGCCGGTAATTCCTTATGATTCCTGCCTCCCTCTCAATATATACTACTTATATCCGTTGTTATCAGCAGCGCCCACTACACTACCAAGGTAGGTTCAACGTGAGTGCGAATTGTTTTTGTATACATAAAGGGGGTTTAAATCTACGGATGACAAGAACTTCAATAGTTTTAAGCACTCGGCTCTGACCACATTTATGTAGTACTCTAAAGGCTGTTTTCATGTCTATCCTATGGTTAGTTTCTAGCATATGTTTAGCGATAGACGTCAAGAGCAAATTAGGACAGTAGTATTGATTTTAATTTCCATACCAAGAATAAGGTTTTCCTTTTTTTTCTATCCCTTCCTATTCCCATGTTTCTTATTAACTTCATTGACCTTTTTCGTAAATTTTCACATAAATAGTTCGACAAGTCCATGTGTGATCAGATTGTTCGAAATGTATAGCGCTAATACATCACACGTTTCAGATAATCTTCGTCTCCTCATTAAGTTGTTTAAATTTATCAAAGGGACCAGTTGCTTTAGATTTTTAAAAAGAAGACTGTAATATTAGCTTTCATTAAAAAGCAGGCCGCTAAAAGTAAAATCTTTTGCAGCGGTTGAAATGCTTCATGTTCTCCCAACTTCGGTTTATTTACTTCGTTTCTCAGTAACTTCTGTAGTCTTGCTTGCATCCAGTACTCTCCGGTGAGCGATATACTATGTAAAGAAGGTAAGACCGGAAAACGTCATGTCAGCTTCTCGAGCTTCAACGAAGTTCGTTTTATTTTGGTAGACGAGTTTAGAAGGTGATCTACAGGCGGTCGCTCACTTTTCGATGTCGTTCCCTATCCCATGGCTGGCCATATTTTCAACACGAAAACCAAATATATGGTGTTTCCTTACCATGACAACACGAATCCTACACTTGTAAGTAGGTGAATGCCAGCTTCTAGCATTTCTAAACGGCGGACTTCAAGTCAGTGAGAGATGCACACACTACTGTGCAAAACATTTCCGGGAACTGATTTTTGTCACTTACATTTGCAATGGAAAGTGATTCGATACCCATTCTAGTTCTAAAAAAAGATGCTCTTACAATACTCCTATGTCATTTTATCTCCTCTTCGAAATCTTAACAAGCAATTACATCAATAACTCACAAAGAAGTTTTCATTGAATAAGTGACAACCTCGGTCAGTTGCCTCAATGATTTTCCTTTGTTTTTCTGATTATTTACATTGTCTGCTGGAGTAGTATGCAACACTTTGAACACTACTGTAGTGATGCAGTTATATAGTTGAAAATGGAAAAAAAATTTCTGTAGCTAAATTTTCTATACTTTTCTTCATGACTGAATGGACCTCTTTCATTAACTAAATTAGCTCTAAATTTCACTGGAATTCTACTGTTTGGTACGTATATTCATGATAAATTCTCATCACATGAGCGGAATAAGTAAACAATAGAATTATTGAAAATATTTGACAAGGTATGCACAAATACCGCTTTCATCAAAAAACATTTAACTAACAGTTTCTTGATTGAAATCTCCGATATGGGGATGAATGATCATTTCAAAGAATTGTATTCAGAAAGAAGTAGAATGAAATATATCTTCGTACTAACGGAATCTTCTCCACCATGTACAAACAAGGACTATTTTAAAAACAGTATTTCAATGTTAAAACCTTTGTTCATTAGATAGACTGGCAGGAAAATTCAAGTTTACCGAGGAGGAAAAAGGGTTATCTATGGAAGCCAAAATAATCGACAGTTGTATTCAATAATTTTGAGAAGTAACCTGTCACGGGTGAGGTGAATAGGTGACTGAGAAGTTTTCTGAAAACCACCTACCCAGTGGTTAAAGTGACCCCTCTATGCAAAACTCAGTTTTTAATACAGCGGGTACAAGTCGACAGATATTAGGTTATTATCATTTCAGATTCCATGTACCATTTCAACGGTATTATCCAGACTATTTATACTGGAAGTGAAAAGAAACTCAACTTCACAAACACCCTCTAATCTGTCTGTCTGCTTAGGAACTTGCATAATTTGAAAGTTATCTCTAGACGTTAAGTAAAATGCAGGGACCAACGTCTGAATTTCGACTGCTTTTATGGTAGCTATCAAACAGAACAATCTTGATTTACTTAATCTATGAAAGGAAATCGCAAATCGGAAGTATTAAGTTGAATTCAGGAATCCAAGACCGTCAGCTGTTAAGTTTTAAATTTTTTTGGATGTTAATCATTTTAGAGTTTCTCTTCACTCATCTTTCACTGTGCATTAACTGATTACCTAACCAATTATTGTTTGTTATTCACTTTGGAGGTCGTTGAAAAACGGATTGATTTTGAACTGTTTTCGTGGATGGACATCATTTAGAGAGCCTTTGAAAACTAAGGAGGATTGAACAACCCTCTCTTCCTTGCCTAAAACGTCTGATCCATGTGCACTCATGACTTTTGTGGGGTCGAAACCAGGGATCGTTAACATCCACTGCTGGCAAGAATGGAATGTATACGGGGTGATGATTGAAGGTGAGATGAAAATCTGAACCGTGGCCGGATTCGAACCAGCGACCACCGGGGATGGAACGGTTGTCCAGTGTTCTCTGGTTTTCAGTGGTTCTTTGGATGAGATTAATCTTTGATGAAAATCATCACAAAACCAGTCAATTCCTCACAAATGTTCACTCATAAACTCTGTTTAATCCTATTTTCTGATTTCTCACATATATCATATTTAAAGTATACTGGTCTACATCAATAAATCCAGCTCACTCATACTCTGTAGTTTACACTATTTCATAATTGATTTATTCTGCAGTGGACTATCCCTCTCTTTCTATCAATGAGGTATGCATCCGCATTCAACCCACAACGATTTAACTGACGAGAAGACAACGATATACAGCTACTCAACCGTATTCTGTAAAATTTGTATTTTTAGCTTACTGGAATTTGTGAGATGAACTGACAGAATGGAATATTCTTGACTTCCAGGGGATGATAAATGCTCTGATCAGTGATATCATAATATCTTGGGATGATATGATGTCTTCTTGGGACTCACTGTTGTGTAACCCCATGTAATAGTTATTCTCTTGTCTTGATGTGCTGATGTGAATTTAAGTGACTCGAACAGTTAGGCAGTAATGTAGTATCCGATGACCATAATAACCCTACAACTCTTATTTTCTACAGTTGGCAGATAATACCTTTTGGCTAGTGTTCGCCAGACCATTTTGACTAAAATTGAAAATTTGGGTTGGCCTAGAATGACTATGGAAAATGAGTGGTGCTTGAAACGATATTTAATAAGCAATGTTGTTTAGCCATGCCATACATGTATAAAATGAACTGATATGGGATTTTTAATACTTTTTTCATCTTATCTCAGGTCAGTGGAACACTACCCAACTTGTCTTACCTTCGAGAATCCTACCGAAGTACTGATAACAGTACATGGGAGAGAACAGAGTGTCTGAGTACACATCAAATATTTAACAAGTTACCAATTCTTTATGCTTTCTCCAATTATCATCTCTCTCTATCGATGAAAGACAGAGGAATCGCCCGCCACTCAAAGAATAACACGTTTTTAGTCTGTGAAATAACCACACCTGATAGGATGGCACCAATAAGTCAGAAAATTATTCAAATTGCATTAACTGGCAATCAAGTTTCAGGCAAATTGTTTTCCAATTTCGACTGCGATTGCATAGTCTTAAATACAAGTGGGATGTCCTCAAATGAAAGTTCTCGTTTTCACGTTCTCATTAAGAATTACACCTTAAATGTGAATATATCGTTCTGGACGGAGAATGAAATCGATGGTCAGCCGTTTTGTAGGCTTAACAGAAGCAGCATGCATCAATCTGAGTATACGCAGGTAAATTTATTCCGTACTAGATACAATTGGAAATGTCGTATTTGGTCAAAACTTACAAACTTAAGTCAGGTACTAGAATTATCGGTCGGATATGGTGAAGTAAAAAGTGATTTTCATCTGGTCGTCTTTAAATCTCTTCTAGAATCACCTAGAACTATTCATAACCTCAAAAGTCATATCACACGAGAACAAAATCTACGATGTGTTCCAAGTGATGATGAGCGGAATATTGTACAAAGTCTTGGTTACAATTATCCAAACAATGTCACTTGGTTTGTTTCAATCGATAATGAGACTCGCAACTACACAACATTTTATAAAACATTTGAACATGAATTCAATTTAATGCCAATCTATGATGCTAGTAATTACCCTCAAATATTATTTAACAAAACTCCAGAATCATGGGAAAGAATCAATGAAATATCGAACCTGAGTAAATTATACTTAAATTATTGGCCAGAGAAGTTGTGCGTAAGTTGTACGAGTGCTTATAGTATTGGGATTTATAGCAGTGGACAAGAAGTATGTTCAATGTTCAATGATTTTAATGTTATCCAATTATTGAACAACAGTTCAAACCATAGTCATATTGAAAAAACTAGGAAGGAAAAACAGCTGTACTTTATTATCACAATAAATAATTCTTCAAAATCGTATGAAATAAACTTACAATTCAATAATTCTCAGATTTTTTTAGTTGAAGGAGCATCAGTTAAATTAGAGTGCGTGCGTAAATTGCCAAAAATGCCTAAAAATATTGAATTAGGAGAATGGCCTGTACTGGTTGATGTTCATGCACATAATAGCACTGATTATCAATTTATTCAAGGCACATTATGGTTGATATCTGGATATTCGCTGAAGGTTAGAAAAACAATCCAGTCTAACGTATTATCCACTGGACAGTTGAAACACTTTAAATGTTCTTATGAAGATGAAAAATACCTTGTCGAATTTCATTCATACAAACAGGTTAAACCAACGATTTTAAAACCAACCGAAAATCTACAGACAATTAAATCGTTCTTACAACCTATTATAACAAATACGAGTAAATATTTCGATAATTCTACGGATGAAGATATAGAATTAACATGTCAAGCTATTGGTTTACCGAAACCAAGTTTAAGTTGGATGAGAGCAGTGTATAGTGTTAATGAAACACTGATTAAATGGGAAATTGTCCAGTTATGTTCAACTGATGAAAGTAAGATCGATTTAACTATTATTAATAAAACAAGTATTGAACAGGAAATTCAAACTTGCACATACCGTATACTGCGATTATTGAAATCCACTGCAAAGAGTTTAAATCAATCACATTATCAATGTTTAGCTACAAATACTGCAGGAAGTACGAGTAAACAAATCAAATTAATTTATACAGATACTACTAATATCGACTTAAGTGAGATTAATAAACTACACATAATCACTCAAAGTGTAATATTATGGATTTGTTTAATTGTTTCACCAGTTCTTTTAATCATCATAATATTTAGTATAATTATTTGCCTATATTATAAATTTAATTTTAAAAATCAATATTCTTCAGATATTTCACTCCCAAATGTTCTTTATAAACGTATTTATGATCACTTTAATTCATATCAGTTTAAATCATCTTCATTATCTTCATCTTCATATGGTTCATGCAAAGATTATAAGTCTATGGAACAAATTTTAATTGAACTTTTAGGTTTATCTTCAGATACTACTAACGATACTACTGATATAAATAATATCACCACCACCACAACTACTGCTACTACTACCACGTCTATTAATACTACTATTCATGAGATTAACAGGTGGATTATCCCACGGAAATTTATTAAAACATCAACTTATCCACTTGGTTCAGGACATTATGGTTCAGTGTATAAGGCATGGTTACATTGTTCATTTTTGAATCGTCATTTTGATTGTCAGTTGAGTGATATGTTATTGAAGGAGGATAGTGAAAATTATACAGTGGCGATAAAAGCTTCATCAGCCGTTCAACAGAATATCTCATATAATAGTAATTTGATATGTCTGAAAAATGAAATACGCATATTGGCCAATTTGAACAATTGTGAAAATATTGTCAAAATGATTGGAATTATGTTAGAGAGTAGAGTGAAATGGAGAAATATGCATAATAGTTTGGAAGGTATCAGTTTAATTCTTGAATGTTGTATGCACAAGAGTTTAGCTACGTTTATTCGATCCAACTCACACCACATTATGGATAGTTTGATGAATTATGAAGAAACACATGTCATCGCTTCTAGTGTTACCGATAACTTGACAACTACTGTCGACGCAAAGGAGGCAGTTGATTCTAAACATTATAGACTCACTGTCAGAGAATTGTATCGATTCGCCTACGGTATTATCTCCGGTGTTGTCTATCTAGTGAAGAATTCCGTGATACACAGAGATCTAGCGACCAGAAATATTTTAGTCAATCATAATTATATACCGAAAATTAGTGATTTCGGCTTGGCTGTACAACTTACACCGCTGAATGGTATAACTAAAGGTGATATCTACAATATTGATGGTGAATTCGATGAGGATCAATTGACCAATGAGTATTATCGTGTGTTAACGCCAAGAAAAAAGTTGCCACTTCGCATTCTACCTCCAGAGGCTTTGCTTCAGCATAAATTTTATTTCAGTTCAGATGTATGGCAGTACGGCTTACTTTTATGGGAGCTATTTCATCTAGAAAGATATGAACCATTTCAAGGGATAAGAACATTTCAAGAATTAATCAGTATGCTGACAGAACATAATCTTAATAATAATAAAAACAATATAAATGAAAGCATTGATAAAGATAATACTACTTCCGAGTTTTCAGATGATCAAGTTAAAACAGCGATGAATCGTCAAAGAGCATTACCACCATCCTCACTGGATAGACCTATGCTTGTAAACAATGAACTATGGGAAATAATGTGCGATATGTGGTCTTTTAATCCTCAGAAACGTCCGACTGCAGTATATATCCATGATAAATTAAGAAATCTACTTGAAGATGGTAGCAGGCAATTTGACCTCCTGGATATGAGACAAAGATATCACGGTCATCACCATCATCATCATATTCATCATGTGTGTACACACATTAATTGTGAGTTTCCATTGAACTCACCATCGGGTGAAAAACATAACTGTCCATTGCACCGGTATGAAAACACTGATAATCGTATACAGGTCTCATGTTCATAACATGTCTATGTGTAAGCGTTTTTCTGCTCTTGTGTACATACAATTGAATGTTATAAAAGTGATTTCTAGTATTGTTTGGAATGTTTTGTCATTTAGTCTTAATTTATGTCGAAAAAATTTCTATATGAAGTATTTCTTTCCTAGATACTACATAGTTCTAAGCAATTCTACAGTGCATTGAGTGTTTTCAAATACCTACACACAGAATTAGGATTTATGTTTCACTCCTACTAGATAGTTTTAAAAGAGCAGACATAGAACCATAGGAAAAATGAAACGTTGTCACGTGGTGCCCCCAACGTAAGCTGAAGCTTGGGCGTCAGGAGATGCAACTTGTTTGAGAGTTTAAGTAGCTCTACATTCTATTAAAGTAGGTTTCCTGTTAGATATTTAGATGCAGTCAGCTGGTTGTAGGTGTCTCACCCTTTTATTCTCATCAATAGGCTGTGCCAGCTACCTGGTGACAGAATAATCTTTCCTTTTCTTCAAAAAGGTTCGACCAGTGTTGCTGCCAACTGTTGTGGTTCATTGAGTAGTGTAAACCAGAATTTGACCATGGTTACTGCCCTTGGGGTACACCAAAAGACAATATATTCTTTTGATACATCACTAGTACTTTGACTGTTTTTATCATGTAGTTTGCTGATATAGCACCAAACGTTACACATTCAAGTCGAAAAGTAAGCATACATTCTTCCAAGGTTTCTCAACTAACATAAAGTGTGAAAGGTACATCAAAGTCTATCTGTCGGTTGCCTACAGTCATTCATTGGGTCCCACTAGCATTATTCATCATGGTAGGCGTCTGAAGATAAGCAATAAGGAGAGCTTACAACGCTGTGAGAAATTGTGAAGTAGGGTTTGTCACAAAGTATTTAAAAAAAGTATGTATATATCTTTCACTAAAGCCATGAGTTAGCAACAAATGATAATAGAATATCCCACATTCAAGTGTGTTTCATTGCTAACATCATGGAAGTGTATCAAAAAGAGATTCATAAAAACTTGGAAGTGAGCCTCTGGTTAGTAACGTCTGCCTGACCAACAGATTTCACATATCTGTTTCGAGTAGTATTAAGAACCACAAGTCTTTCCTAAAGCTTTAAATGTTATTTTACGACTGTACTTTAGTAAGCGTTGGCTTCACAGTCCTGCTTTACATCTGGGCAGGTGCAGAAAAACTCTAAATACTAGAAAAGAAGTTGCACACTTCAATTCTGTTAGTCATATGCTATGACACGGATAGTTAATTGATCAATGTCTTACGAATATCCCTTAATGTGTAGTCGAAAGATGAGGACTCAACGGTAAAAGTTCTGAAGATAACACATTCATTGTAGCACAAAGTTAAGTCACATGACTGATTATTAAACTGCTAATATATCAAGTAAGGTGAGCAAGTCATTCTATTAGTTCTTGAACATACACCAGCAGAGCGAGATGAGGTGTTTTATGCATACCAAGTGATCGTCTGCTCCAGACAGTCATGTCAGCAGAAGCTAGCTTAGTTTCGCTTGTTCAGAACTTTCTTGATATTTCTATTTATGGGTCACCTGTGTAAAACTTAAACACTCGTAATCAAATCAGCGATCTTGGTTCGCGACACCAATTAAGCCTTTTTATGTAGCTCTGTACGGATTTATATTCCAGTTCAATCGTTTTTTCCCAATAAATTAAAAATGACTGTTTAGTTTAGCAGTATTTTTAAGAAGGTCGAAAGAGATACAAAAGATACGGTGAATACGATATGATGAAACATTTTCTTCTTTTCAGTGTCGAGTTTGTTTTGCCAAAAATCAGCTGGATTAAAAAGGTACTGCATTTCATATTTCACTGAATACGTTAGCGCTATCCATTACAAGAAGTATTCCTTTCCTACGACAGTATGCAGCAGTTGGTTAAGTCAGTCAGGAAAGCCTTTAGCGTAGAAACAATAAAAAAGTAAATCAGGGGGAAATGAAGATTAGTTTCATCCTAGTATGGGACTCCTAAAATATTCGCACTTATCACCCCCTCCCCAGGGATCCAAACCAGGGCCTTCAGGTTCTGCGGCATGTTATCACTGGGTTAGTGGGTCAGAACTCGGTGGTCCGTATTTCCTACTTCTGCCAGTTCACGATATAGAGTGACCTCCGTGCAAATTTGTCGTTGGGTAACTGTCCTCATGTTCGATTCGGTTGGCTCCACTGGTCACGATTTCTCATTGGAACTTCGGAGGTCCCCTCTCAAAGCTAGTCACCAATGAGCACTAGATTCATTCAATTTGGAGGTTTTTGCGGATTTCTTTATTGATTTTGCGTTAATATTCGTCACGGAGTGACATCAGCTGAAGAACCATTGGAAACCAGGAAATACTGGAGAACTGTTTTGTCCTAGTATATGGTTTCTCAACAGTGCGCACCCACGACCCAACCAGGGACTTTTTCGAGACTAATTAGAAGCCATTATTGGTGACGGCAACCAAGTGGGACGTCATAATAGTTACTGAAGAATGGCACTGGATGGAGGTCGGCTATATCGTGAACTGACAGAAGTAGGAAATCTGGATCATTGGGTTCCAATCCCCTGGTTTGGAACCTGAAGGTCCTGGGTTCGATTCATGGCGGGATCATGTGTGCGCACTGGTAAGGAGTCCCATACTAGGACCAAGCAGTTGTCCACTGCCTCCTGGTTTCCAGTGGTTCTCCAGCTGATGTCACCCCATGATGACGACTGTATACCTGAAATCAGTAAACAAATTCTTAAGAACCTCCAAACTGGATTACCCTGGTGCTCATTAATGACTTGCTTCGAGATATGATAGTCTGGTGGCCTCTGGTTCTGTTCCCGTAGCGGTTCATGACTTTATTTCACTACCAGTCACCATATTTTATCATAGGCAGTAATCTACCATACTATGAATATATCTTATAGTTTCGGTAAGAAACTAATTCTTTTGTAAATTTAGCGTTTGAAGAGTAATGATAAGTTTGATGGAGCACAAATCTTGTCGGTGAATAAGTTAGTAAAGTGACTATTGGGAATTTAAGATACAACCTGAACCATACAAGAGGAAATTCAAATGGTGATTCCTGGATCAGCTTAGTAGTTGTACCATTCCGTCAAGGCACAACTGAAGAGCCACAAAGAATCATAAGAAAGCTCCGAATTAGAGCCTTTTACAAGACAACCAACACTCTCAGGAATGCTCTAGTCCAATTAAAAGATAAAATTCGTTTTACCTTCACACACAATTGTATCTACAAATTAGGCTGTATCGACTGTGATGCCTATTATGGTGGAGCTAAAGAATATGCAAGTTACACAAAACGCCCGCCAAATAATCCTGTAGAAAAAGGAATACACCCATTTGATTATAGGAAAAGACAAGACGTGGTTTCCTGTAGAACTGAAGAATCTACAAATCAAGTCGGCAATCGTGATCCATGCCATCTATCGCAATCACAAAATCGACATTGAAAATATCAAACTTATTCAAAAACGTTTTTCAAACTACAAAGGAAGAAGAATGGCTGAAGTATTTCACATAATGTCGAATTCTATTGCACTCAACAGAAAAGGTCTAACTATCCAACCAACCTGGACAGTATTTCGAAAGACAGCATGTCACATACAATGATTATAACAAGAGTGTATACACACAAACAAACCAAATTCACCATCCACGGTATTTTTCTTGCACATTCACACTCAGTCACATGTGCACATGTTCACATCTTGAGCTCTAGACTAATAGTGGATAACAAAGACAAGTTTGAACGCATCCTGACCAACATAACAAAGACATTTATGCCTGTCATGTATAGACAGTGTCATCTGATTCGTCACTATTTACTATAGAAACAGTCGATACCTTGTACAGGTTTTATTCTGATTGGCTATATTTGTTCAACTTATGTTTTACACTGATATATGACCTTCTAACACGTTCACGAGTTTGAACCACTTGACGTAATTGGTTTTACGAATGAATTTGTCATACTGTTCAAATTATGCACAGAAAGAATATATACACTGAATGCTGGCTTCTAATTTCTAGTGCCTGATGAAAAGAAGAGAATATATCAGCGAAACTCAGAAAAAAGTCGTGATCGCTATAGTTTGCAACTGGATGTCAGTTACATTACATAGTGAAGACATAAACAGACGTTCATTTAAGTCTTACGGGTGGGCTGTAAGCTTAACCCACAGAAAACTGCGTAAAATGTGTTGAAACAATCCAAAAATTTAGGTTATAGACTGAATCTGAAAGCAGAATCAGTGAAGTTTTCAATACCGTACTCTGCAACATAGAGTATTCATTATTTGTGTTTCGCAAATAAACAAGATAAATGACATTGAAATGATGAATAATATTCGTAGCTCAGGGGAATGATATTGGTTGTGTTGTACTCAGTATTAAACCATCTAATTCAGGGAAATCAACAAAAACAAAATAAATGAAATTCCCCCAATTTTCTACTGAAGTCAAATACAATTAAATTAATTACCCATGACGATTGTTTTCCTTCTTTATTTTGCAGTGTAAACATATGACCTTATCCTAAGCTTGATTTTATCACTTTTAAACAAATTTATAGAAAAGGATAATTAACAGATACTTTAGATAGAGTTGAGTGAATGATAAAAGAAATTGAAGGATGGGTTGTCGAGTTACAAATTAAGTATTTCAAAGACTTAGGTAAGGATGAAGGTCATGCCATTATGGTGAACTCATAGAGGTAGGGAATAGGGATCACTGGGTTCCAACCCAGTGGCTCAATGGTAACATGCTGGCCACGGAACCCGGAGGTCCTGGATTCGTTTCATGTTGGGGTCGTAGGTGCGCACTGATGAGGAGTCCCAAACTTGGGTGAGGCAGCTGTCCAGCGCTGCCAGGTTTCCAATGTCTCTCCAACTGATGTCAGTCCATGATGAATTCCAGACTGAGATCAATAAAATTCCCACAGGCCTTCAAATTCAATTTCACCCTCTTTTACAATAAAACAATAACTTGTTTTTTTTCTTATGTAGTTAAAAGCACCAACTTAACAAATCACTTGTTGTAAGATATGCATAAATATATAATTCATTTGAGGAACGGAAAATGTGAGGATGATTTCCAAATAACGGCAAAAGTCAAGAGAACAATGAAAATAGGCTTAGAAAGAGGATAATCTAAAGAATTT